TGGCAAAGCAACAAGACATGGTACCCTGAGCCCATGTCCTTTTGGGGAAAAACAACCTCACTCATGATAATGGGTAAGACTGAGAGAGGCATGCAAGGATTGTCAGGCCATCAGGGACACTGGGAATGGGTGTTAAAACAAGAAAATCTGTAGAAAAATGCAAAAATCCTCTTGCCTGAACATGAGGTGGACTGATACAAAAGCCTCCTCTCTGATAGTCCTACAGACATGCGCACAGTGACTTTGCTCCTGGCCAGGAGGGGCTGCACAGCGAGGGTGGGCTGGGGGAGAAGAGGGAAACCCAGATTCCTTTGGGAGCAGGACTCTAGGGAGGGCTCAGGGGAGTAGCAGGGTGGCTTCTGGGCCCGGGCCCCTTTGACTACTGGGGTCCTGGAGGGAGGGTCACCGGGCCTCCGCACTCACCTTCAGACCAAGCTGCTCTCCTTTGGCAGCGTGGGGCCCCTGTGCCTCCTGCGGGGGAACCCCATCAGCCAGCTCCCATCTGGCCTCCTGTCTGGCCTCCTGTCTGGCCTCCCGTGGGGAGCTCTGTAAAGACAGCGCCCAGCCGCCAGGCGGAAAGCCTCAGACCCTGTGCTTCACAGACCCTGTGGTTCTTCCCACTCCAGACACATTCACCACATTCACTCACACCTCCACGGAGGACAGGAAAGACGTGACGGCTGAGGGCCTAGGGTTCTCACTGGCACAGAGGAAAGGCCCTCGGAAAGCCCCTCTCCACCCTGTCAGCCCCGAGCTGGCCGTGACCATGACAGCATCACTAGGAGGTGCCCCACCCTGCAACCTGTTCCTGCCCAGGGGTCCTCCCTTCTGGTCCCTCTTCCCCCACATGGACGGGAGGGGATGGGGCTGCCCAGGGTCGGCTCCCAGAGGTGGCCCGGCCTCAGCCGGGCGGACAGGCTACCTGAGGGGACCGCCTGGAGAACGGCCAGAGACGCCGGGTAGGAGGAGGGTTAAGCCAGTGTCTCCACAGTTTGGAAAATCTCCCACTGCGGGGTCTCCGAAAGCAGGAGCCCCAAGAACCGGGGGTCCAGCAAGAGGCCATCTTCAACTACCAAGTGTCTCTTGCCGAGTGGACTGGCAGTTGGGCTGTGGCTGCCTGGCAACGGGGGTTCTAAGTTCTTTAGGGAAGCGACCTCACTTCCTGTGATCCCCTTCCCTGCGTACCCCCTTCAAATAACAGATATCCAACTAGTCCTAGGGGCTGCTGACTGCTCACACCCCTTCTCCATGGGATACATATCTGTCCCAACGACACCAACACGCCTTCCTCTACGGCCCCCTGGAGGGTCTGGGTGCAGCCAGGGTCCCAGATTTGAGGAGACAGACCTGGGTTCAGACTCAGCCCCTCATTCTTTCTTCTTTTTGATCCAGACAAGCCACCGTGCCTGCCAGGGCCTGTCTGGCTCCTGCCTGCACAATGGATTGTGCAGCACGTACGTCTTGGCAACAACGTCCAGGCACGTGTGGGATAGCAGCTGTAAAGTCGGAGGAGTGCTGTCACGTGTAAGAAGTGCCTCCTACCTGTTGTTGCTTTCTCTTGTCGCCTCCTCTATGTCTGCTCTTCTTAGTATCCCTCCCTAGTCCTTACATCTAAGGCAGGAATGAGGAACCTTTTCCTGCCAAGGGCCATCTGGATAGTTAGAACACCATTCAAGGGCCGTACAAAATTGTCACCTTAAAAATTAGCCTGCTGTATTTGGTTAGACATTTAATTAACTCGCCCCTAATGCCTTGGCAGGGCCAGACCAAGTGATTTTTGTGGGCCTTATACAGCCCTCTGGCCGGACATTCCCCATCCTGATCTAATGTGTGTGTGTGTGTGTGTGTGTGTGTGTGTGTACATGTGTGCGTGTACACTCACACACATGTCAGTGCTCACTTACTGGATCCCAGAAAGAAAAGAAAAACAGTCCTCACATAGGCAGGAATAGGCAATATGTTAGGATTTCTAATTTTCTTTATATATATATATATATATATATATATATATATATATATATATTATTGATTTTTTTACAGAGAGGAAGGGAGAGAGATAGAGAGCTAGAAACGTCGATGAGAGAGAAACATCGACCAGCCACCTTCTGCACACCCCCTACCGGGGATGTGCCCACAACCAATGTACATGCCCTTGTCCGGAATCGAACCCGGGACCTTTCAGTCCGCAGACCGACGCTCTACCACTGAGCCAAACCGGTTTCGGCAGATTTCTAATTTTCAAGCCAACCCTGTGGGACAGGTTGGAGCCTTTGCCTGGAAGGTCACAATACTCCTGACCTCGGACTCTGCCTGCCATGTACCTTGGCCAGTGTCCCCTCACTATGGGCCGCAGTCGTCCAGGTTAGAGTGAGATTCAAAACTGCATAAGCATGAGCTCTGCATAAAGGAGTCCCCAGCACCCTCCACCCTGGTGGCTGTGGAGAGGAATGCACCCCATATTCCCCGACTAGGCCTCTCCTCAAACACGGACTGGCTAAATGCTCTCTGGACTGCCAAATGCTCACCCTCTCCCCTGAGCCATCTCCACGGCTACGCATGGTCCCATCAGCACAGCCTTTTCCAGGGCCCCCGAGAAAGCCTGGTGCAGCCAGGACCCCAACTGTGAGGACACCGCTGTCTCTGTGTTTCTGGGCAGAGAGTGGGCCTTTCAGAACCGTCCACATCTCCCCCCAGAGGCTCCCCACGACTCACACCTCCTGGTGGACACATCCTCCTGTGGTGTGGATGGTGCCCTTCCCTTAAGAGTGGACTCCAGCGGGACCAGTTTGGATCAATGGATAGAACGTCAGCTTGGGGACTGAAAGGTCCCGGGTTGGATTCCGGTCAAGGGCATGTACCTTGGTTTCGGGCATATCCCCAGTAGGGGGTGTGCAAGAGGCAGCTGATCTATGACTCTCATCGATTTTTCTCTCTATCTCTCTCCCTTCCTCTCTGTACAAAATCAATAAAATATATTTTTTAAATAAATAAATCAATAAATAATAAAAAGAGTGGACTCCATTCGTGACTCCCTAGGAGACAGCAGTGATCCAAGGTCACTTCCAAGATTTGATTATAAAACATCAGTGCCTAATCACCTGCTCACTCTGATCTGGGTTCTCTCTGTCTCTCTCTGTCTCTCTGTCTCTCTGTCTCTCTGTCTTTCTCTCTCTCTCTCTCTCTCTCTCTCTCTCTCTCTCTCTCGCGCGCGCGCGCTCTCTCTCAGGTCCCTCATTCTGGGGACTCAGCCACTGAGCTGTGAGCTGCTGTTTGAAGAGACTCACATGGCCTTGCACCAAGGGGAAGTCAGGCCTTCGATCCAAGCTGAATCCTGCCAAGACTCCCCGAATGAGCTCGGATCCGGAGTGAAACAGATCCCGCCTCAGTTGAGACCGCAGCCCCAACCTGCTGAGAATCGCTGGCAGAAGTACTCTGCTGAGCCATGCGGGATTCTCCATCCAAGAAACTGTGAGGTAGTAAGTGTTGCCTGATTGTCGCTGAGTGATGGGTAACGTTGTCACAGGGCAATAGATCGCTAATACAGTTGCCCCCGCACCAGGCCCTCGCTCCCCTATCTCCTCCCAGCCTCCCTCCAGCCACACCGACCTCCTTTCTAAGCTCCTCTCTGTCCAGGCACCTTCTGCCTTCAAGTGTCTGCACAGTTATGCCTTCTGTCGGGAGAAATATACCTATTAGGGAGCCAAGGAAGGAGTCATCCACGTGGACAAATGACTCATCCACCGAGTGCCTGCAGGGAGGACAGAAGGAGATTTTGGAGGCCGTTGCTAATTTCTCCCTGAAGAATGTGGCCTGGCTGAGGGGTTAGCAGGAGACTGTGAGCAGGAGGCAGGGAGTGACCCGGCTGGATCCCCATCCTCAAAGAGGGGAGCTACTGAAGCAGCAGGGACGTGTCCCAAGGGGGCCCTGGATGGACAGGTGAGTGCCTACGGGCGTCCTGGCACCATGGACAGGCCCCATCTGTGGGAGAACTGGCGCTTGCTAGAACTAGCCCCTGCGTCTTGCTTCTTTCTAAATGCTCAGCCTCTACCACCTTAACTGGCCTGAAAGAGCCTGGGGGAATGGCACACCTCTTTCCATGGCTAGCGGAGTCACTGTCACTGATGACTCAGCATGAGCTCTCCATTCCTCCCTCGTGCCCTCTCCTCCCTGCTCCTCTTCAGTTCTGTCTTCTCACTTGCCACCCAGACACTCTGGACTCCAGCACTAGCTTTACTCCTCACACCTGGAACACCCATCGCTCTGTGCTTTCCCCAGACACCCAGCTCCCAGCATTTAACAAACCATTGTGAGGATCAACTCAGCAGACAAGGTGGCTCTCACCTCCACAGGGACACCCACACAGGCCAACACACACACACACACACACACACACACACACACACACACACACAACATTGGGACAGGACACAGCACAGAAGCCTAGGACACAGGACAAGGGATCCAGTCCTCTGGGCACTGCTGAGTGTCCCATGCACAGTGACCAGTGCCATGTGCCCCCAAAGCCCTCCACCCAATGCCTATTTCAGTGGTGCCATCCCCCCTATGTCCCTGGGGTCATGCTGGGCAGGAGGGCAGGGCTGGAGGCACCGTGTACACACCTCCCTCGGCTCCTGCTCCCTGCAGTTCCTGGATCCCCAGATGCTGATCTCGGCTTGAGAAGGAAAAGCATGGCTGGGCCAACAGAATGCTCTGCACTGCTGACCCCGGGACCTGGCACGCTGGCTGTGCTAGGGAGCAGGGGCAGAGGTGGGCAGAGGCCCTGCTGAGAGAGGTGGTCAGTTGTGCTGCAGGCCAAAGGGAGGGCACCCTCCTGGCACATCCCTGGGTAATCCCCCATGGAAAATTCACAATTACATTCACCAAGAAGGGGCAGATCTGACAGCATAAGTAGCCAAAGAAAAGCAGGAAACAGGCTATATCTGGGCAAAAGACACTTTATTGTTTCTTGGGGTTTCTGGAGGCCTTGGGCTGGGCTGGGCTCACTTTCCTCCCCCAGAGCAGGGCGGGGCTCCGTGGCTATGATTGTGGTAGTCCGTGGCAATTTCCCCCAACACCGACAGGAACTCAGAAAACTCGATCTTCTTATCCTTATTCTTGTCCTTGTCCTCAAAGATATGATCCAAGAAATCGTTGCCCTTTTTGTCCTGTGGGAAAGACACGAAGCAAGACAAATTCAACCCCAAAAGTGTTATGGGTGGAAGAAGAGGAGGCAGAGAGGGGAGAAAAGACCTGGGGCCGCACAGGTGTAGATGGTGTGGGCCAGTGGAGGGTGTCTGGGGATGAGGAGGACATTAGCATTACCCTGCAGGTCACTAAGGGAGATTCCTTGGCCCAAGTGTCAACGTGAATGAGAGATCTAGTGCTGGTGAGGCTCTGATCATTGAGCTGGTGGGTGGGTGGTATTTAGATCCAGACCCGTTCCCCCGACCCACTTCCAGGACCCCATCTGCCAAAGTTTAATCCAGAAATTCAAAATAGGCCCTATCCCTTGACTCTTCATTCCTAACCCTCCTCTCCATCTTCTATCTGCCTTCCCAAATCTTCCATGCTCAGTGCCCTCTTTTGCCCACCCACTCTCTGTGTCACCCAAATAGCCTCTCTTCATGTAATCAGTTCAGTATATTCCAACTGTCAGACTAAATCAGGTCTATGAATGAGCTTTTCATTGTAATGAAAAGTGTTACATTTTATCAGCCATGGAATTTCTATTGCCTTCCCTTAGATCTCAGAGAACTAATGGAAGCTTCTAGAAGCAGAGCCTGAGCCTATGGGCTTCAGTCTCCTGGATGGGCAGTGACCCATTCTTTACTCTCCTATTTGGCCACCTAATAACCACCCTTGATCTCCAGATGCCTTTACTCTGGGCCACCTGTATCACCTCCTTCATCCTGATCATGACTCAGGAGAGTCCTCTTAGGCCTTTTTGCCGATGAGAATATGGAGTATAAAAGAATGAGATTGACTTTGTCTAAGGTTCCAGAGCAAAGTGTCCTCTGCCATGCCCAGGACCTTGAGAAGTCACCCAGACTTACACAGGCCTTGAGGAATACAGGGAAATTCTCCGTCAGCATCTTCAGCAGGCCCCGCTTGTCAATCTTGTCATCAGATTTGGTGTATTTGTGGAACAGGGAGATCAAGTCCATCACGGACTTCTCAACTTGATTTTGGCTCATCTTGGTTTTCAAAGAAGCTGCCAGAGAGAAAGACAGGGACCTTTGTTATCCTTCCCCCCCAGGTCAGGGTCCCTAAGTCAGAACAATGGGGTGGGAACTGAGCATCCAATGAAGTGAAGCTCTGGTGGAGCAGAAGGAACTGTATCACCCTAGAAGGTGGGATGAGATGTTCACAAGGAGTAGAGTGTGACCGAGGCTAGGGCCTGGGCCCATGCAGGTTAGGGCCCAGAGGAGATGGAGGAGAACACAGAAGCCCACTGTGGACAAAACCACAGGAGGCAGAAGCAGAGAGATTAGGGGTCAACCACACGGAAAAGGACTGAAGTCTTAATTAGGACCTGAACCAACGAAGGATGACTCCACTCTTCAAAGAACATCAAATCCTCTCTGCCAGTGTCAACATCAGGGTTGGAGTCACTGAGACAAAAATAACTTCCTGACTAGTCTGATCTGGCCAGCCCTGGGCTGCTCTTAGAACAAGATCCCAGGGGAGCCCATCCTGAACATAAAGCAAGTGATAAGTGAAATGGGCCCTGGAGGCTCCCAGCAGTGAGTGTGTGTAGGAAGGTCAGTGTGAGCAGAGATATACAGCCCTGTCCTGAGCTCCAGCAGAGGACCATCCCCACCAGTGGGAAAGGGGACTGCAGAACAGAATTGGCATCATATTTTAAATAAAATATGCCTTCATTTTTAGACTTGTGGGTGGAATCACACTTAAGTAAAGAGGTCTAACCTCCAAAAGCTGGTACCTCCACCAACAGTCTGGACCCCAAGCAGAAAAATGGGACAGTGCGGCCCTCACATCCCAGACTTCCCAAAGCACCCGAGAAATATGCCTGGATCACACATGTGGGCATCTAACAAAAACTACCATTGTCTCCTGATCTGGGAGAAAGAACCTACTGCTATGTCCCTAAGTGGAACCACCTAAAGCCTTCTGTCAACTTGGCCAAGGCCAGAGCTGAGCCCTGTGCACAGAAGGTCACTGGTCATTCCCTCAGCTGGGGAGAAGGTCCAAACCTTAGTTGATGGTTCCCTGATCCATGTAGTGGCAGGTCTTCTCACCAGGGCAAGGTGAGTGGGCATCACTGGCCTGGGTTTAAGAGAAACTTCAAGACTTTGGGAGAGACCCCCACTGTCCCCAGAGGTTGGGATGCACAATGGGTCTTCACCAAACCGGGAGCTGACAGTCAGGTGAGTCCAGAGAGCAAAGAAATCAAGGAAGAGAAGGAAGGTGGTGTCCTCAGCCCCCACCAGGGATATTTCCAAAGAGTTGCACAGAGGAGCCAACAGAGCAATGGGAGCATTGGTGCGGTCATCTTATAGATGTGGTCACACAGCCCCATGACAGGCAGAGCCCCATTACATTTGGACCCAGGCTCCTGAATCCTCTCCCATCACTGCTTCCCCTACTCCTGCAGACAGCAGAACACATTGGGCCCTGAGCACCCCCTCTTACTCCCGGCAAAGAGTCAGGTGCATACTTACCGGAGCTGATGAGGAATCACTGAGGAGAAGGATGAGTGTGCTGTGCATTTGAGCAAAGACTGGGTCCCTTTATAATGCTCCGTCTGGCTCATCCCATGATCTGGGAGCCCTGGAGTCATGTTTTCTGTCTACTTTCTGGACCATTGCCCCACTCAGGTGAGTGGGACACACCTAGGAGTATGTGTTCACCATGTCCCAGTAACATTCCAGGCAACTCCCAAAGGACAATACCTCGAGCTTTCTTCTGTCCTCCGCTTAACCTGGGGATGGGTTGGGAAACACAGTGGGATGCTGTTAATATAGGACAGACATTTTGGTAGAGAAAACTGGATTTCTGAACATAAAACATGAGACTCTGAAAGACAGCATGGTCTGTGTTTGCTCATCACCCAGTCCTTCCACAGTCCTTTGACGTCTAACAAAAACTCTCTCCAGTGGTTAATAAGTCCTTACCTGTGCCAGGCATCACCTTACCTGCTGTATTGATATTCCTCTTAAATCTTCATAACCTTATGAGAGGGTGCTGTTACCCTCATGTCGAGGACGGGGAATTGAGGGAATAAGAGGTAAGCCAAGTTCCTATGTGCACGAGGCTAATAGACAGCAAAGTCAAGATATGGTCCCAGAAAAGCCTGATTCCAAACCTCCCTCCTAACCTCACTACTAGACCTCTGGGGTCACTGCAGGGCCTGTGAACTCAAAGTCCAGAGAGGAAAACAGGGTCACCTCACTCCCATCTTCACGGGGGGGTCCCCACTGGAGCGCTGGGAGGGAAAGAGGTTGCATAACCCACAGTGACAGACCAGGTAGCACAGAGAGCATAGCACATCACCTGCAGGTGAGGGAAGACTGGAGGTCAGAGCTCTTGAGTTCTGGTGTTAGCCCCAACTTCACTTTGCAGCTCTAGGGGCTGCCTGAGCCCACCTAGAAGGAAGCCACTGTCTAGACTCAGGGATGGTGACCATCATGACATGAGCCAGCAGGAGATTGGGAAAAGTTGCCTCCCCTCTCATGATGATGCTTTCCTATAAATTCTTCAGTGATGTTCCTCTTTCCCTTATGCAATACAGTCTGCTTAGGAGTCAGTGGCCATGCCCTAGGGTCTGCTGTGTCCCAACCCGCTGTGGAAAATCTAGTCCAGGTGTGAGAAAACAGGAGCTTGGAGTTCAGGATGAAGCCTGGGGACCTCTGGGGAACGGCCCTGCTGACTCACTGAGAACATCTTGTTCCTGCTCTCTGCTCCCCTTAGAACATCCTCCCCCAGTGAGGACACTGCTCAGGCATTGGGCACCCTGGGACCAAGCCCACCACTAAGCCCAGGTCAGGCCTTCCCAACCCATTGGGTCTCCAAGCTGCAGCCTGGTCTTTCTGTCCCCAGTTATGTCTACATCTGCACCAGCACCGGGCCTCTCTGGTTCACTGGCTTAATTGTATAGTATTCCTTTGCGTGGATGTGACATAATCTTCCATAATTCTGCTTCAGATACCACATGCTCTTCATTTTCTTGTCTTCTTTTGGATGGTTTCCAGCTCAAGTGACTAGGGATTTTGACCTCTGACCTTATGTTCCCCTGGGGATCAGCCACCCTGTCGGGTGAGGATGTGGAAAGGGCCCAGGGCAGGCCCTGGTTGTGTAAGTCCTGGGTGTTTAATGAATGAAAGGGGGATGAGCCCAGGTCCCAGGGACCAACTTCAAAACAACTCTGTTTGCTGTGAGGGACATTAGTGTTTTTAACTCTGTGACTAACAGCCAAGTCCCACCCCAGCATCTTCCTTATCACTCCCACCATTGAAAGACTGTAAAAATCTTCCAATCCCTGAGCCAATAGTCCTTTGGCGACATGGTCTACACATCCAGGTCACCACTTGGAACCATCTCGCAAGCGCTTACTGTTCATCCTGAGCCTCTCTCTCATTCCTCCCAATGGACTCTGGACCCCAGTTGTCCTTGGCTGTTTGGAGCTAAGACCTGGACCATTTGTTTAAAGTTTAAGGAGAACCCACTGAGCCCCACTCACTGTGCTTTAGAATGAACATATGGCAAGAAAATTTTATTATGTATATATCTCTTCTCAATGTTCACACTTTATTTATTTTTTAATATATATTTTTTATTTTTTAAAAATATATTTTATTGATTTTTACAGAGAGGAAGAGAGAGGGATAGAGAGTTAGAAACATCGATGAGAGAGAATCATCGATCACCTGCCTCTTGCGCACCCCCTACTGGGGATGTGCCCGAAACCAACGTACCTGCCCTTGACCAGAATAGAACCTGGGACCTTTCAGTCCGCAGACTGACACTTTATCCACTGAACCAAACCGGTTTCAGCAATGTTCACACTTTAGAAGTGAAGACAAAAAGAATAAAATAGAAACTGTGGATTCTGGAGATATACAGTGACACCCTGTATAACTTAAAAAGAAAGGAGGAGAGGTGAACTGACATACCTTAGATATGGCATTTGAATGAATGTCAACACCTAGTGTTCAAGCAAGCAAACCAGGGAAAGAGATTCCAGACCATGACATGTGAGCAAAACTACAGCACAGAACAGACCTGACATCAGGAGGACAAAAAACAAGTCTAGAGCCAAGGGTGTTGGAAGTGAGAGGGTTGGGACAGGCACCAACTATGTCCAACCCAGTACCAACCCCTTTTCTGAATGAACAGAGCCCAGTTTTGCTAGGGGTTGGAGTGCCCAGTACTTCTATGTGTGTCTGGTCTCATCTAAGCCATTCAGAGAGTCCTGTCCCTGCTTTCCCTGTGCCCCTTGCAACTAAGAGTGAGCATGTAGCCCACCAGTTCTTCCCAATGAAACTGAGTGATACTGGGCCAGGCTTCTGGGGCTCTGCTTTTCTGGCAGAAGGGGACAGGAGAGCTGGCCCTGCCCTGCCTCAGCCCATGCCTGGGTGGCTGGTCCTGAACACAGGCAGTCATCAAAAAAAAAAAAAAAAAAATGTTCCTTCCCTTAATGTCACTATCAAGCCCCACGTATCATGTGAGCCTCCTCTAATTCCTAGCCATAAAAGATAGCATTCACCTGACCTGTGTCTTTATTTTCTTCATGGAAGTTTCTGTTTTTGTTTGTTCTTTTGTCCCATCAGAAGGGACAGAATACCTTCCTCAACTTGGGTATGGGAGTGTCATTTCTCTCTTTAACCTCAGAGCTGAGGAGGAGGCCAACCACAAGAGGAGTTGCTGGGACAGTTATTTTATGAGAAGAACTTCGAGTTTCACTGCTTCAGGGAAAGAGGAATGGACTCCTAAAGAGCGGGGTAGAATGAGGGAGTGAGGAGAGAGTGAAGGAAGGCTGGACGGAGGGCAGGAATGTATAATAGCACCAGATTGAGAGTGAGAGTTCAGGACCAGAGACAGCGTAACTCCCTGTATTTCTTTCCTGCTGCTTCTGTAGCAAATGGGCACAAACCTGATGGCTTAAAACAAAGCAAATCGATAATAGTTCAGAAGGTCATATGTCCCCAAGAGATAAAATCAGGGTGTCAGCAGG